CAGTCAAATGCCTTAGGCCACCAGAGCTCCTAACCCCCTCCTCCCACCCGGACTGCACTCTTCATCTTCAGGGGTTCCACTCTCATACCCCACAGACACCACACAGGCCTCATTTTTCCCTCATTTCTGGCCACACTCTGGTTTCCTCTGGGGGCGCCTCCTGCTCCCAGGGTTTAAAGGACAAGGTCCCCAGGCCCAGCCCCAGGAGACCTCTCCTCCAGATCGCCACCTTGCCCAAGAGGCCAGTTCACACTCACCCGCAACATCCAATGTCCCGTCTCTCCCAGAAACCCCTAAACACACAGCCCTACCTGCACACGATCCTCCTGCCTGGAGGCCCCCTGGGCATTCCATAAACTCACCCCCACCAAGCCTGTTCCTTTTCCGAGAGGAAACCACCACCCACCGGGTCCATGCGCCTGAACTTCATCCCCTCAGCCCCACTGTCCACGTCTCGACAGGGAGGCTGCGCACTTCTCACCGTGTTCTCGGAACCACAATCACGCCCTGGGCCACTCCACAGCCTCCTTCTGGCCTTCTTCAAGCTCCTCTCTGCCTCGGGGCCTTTGCACATGCCATTCCCTCTCTGCTGCAGCTCCACACACCCCCTCCCAGGTCTCAGCGTCCCTTCATCCCCCACCCAGGCCACACCCCATCACCATGCCCACTGCCCCCTTCCCATGTTCCCAGGTGCAAAGCGAACACCGATTTGTCTTGTGCTGCTCTCCCCTATTAGCTGTTAGAGGGCCCAGAGTGGCCCAAACAGTTAAAACTCAACTATTAGTCAAAAGGTTGGTGTCTCAAACACCCAGAGGCACCTCGATCTGTTCCGGAAAGTCCCAGCCTTGAAAACCCTGTGGAGCACAAGGTGGTCACCAGTCGATATCGACTCGACGGCAACCAGCAACTATGACTGGCCTTTCGGATCTGTGAGGGCAAGAACCACAACCGTGCTGTCTGTGGCTCCGCTCCGACCCCAGCACTGCCCCGCCGACCCCGGAGCTCCCCAAGGACGCATGGAATTAACAACTTCACTGTGGGCCAGGCTCTGGAAATAAATCAGACAGACAAGGCCTCTGTCCTGAGGACCTTACAGTTAATCTGACAACAGAAGACAAAGACACACCCAGGTCAAGATCACTCTTACAAGAAACGTGGTGCAAGGGACACGGGAGAACCAGGCAAACACAACACCAGCCAGGGGGTCAAGGTGGTGAGTCAGCTGACAGCGTGTGCCCTTAGCTTGTGGCATAAGACTAGCACTTCCCTCTGTGGTCTTCCTCCCCCAAACCCATAACTCCCATCTAACACCCAAGTTCCAATAGAGGGGTTCCAGTCGTCCAAACAAATGCCAATAGCGGAACATACTATAAAATGCCTGGCCAGTCCTCAAAGCTTCCAAGGACACGACCAACAAAAACAGCT